TCTTTAGCCCCTCGCACGTTCACGAAGTGCATGGACGCGGCGCTCTCCCCCTTGAGATTTCAAGGGGTGCGCGTGCTGAATTATCTCGACGATTGGCAGATTCTAGCTCAGTCGAGAACCGAACTGTTACACCACAGGTCTTTGATTCTGAACCATTTGCAGTGTCTGGGTCTCAATCTATCCAAGAGCAAACTGAATCCCAGCCAGAGTGTGATCTTTCTGGGCACATTTATCGACTCTATGACAATGAGAGCGTGCCTCACAACAGAGCGCGCACTCTCTTTTCAACAGCTTCTTTCAGGGCAGGCAAACGCTCACGCCTAAAAAAGTTTCAGAGACTTTTGGGGCTCATGGCAGCTGCATCATCAGTGCTCCGTTTGGGACTACTGCGCATGTGCCCGCTGCAACACTGGCTCAAGCACCGTATGCCAGCCCGCTTGTGGCAGTCAGGCAGCCTATTAATCACGGTGAATCACGGTTGTCTTCGGACACTGATTCCCTGGCTGGCTCAAGACTGGTATCTCAAGGCCGTGAGTTTGGGTGTGATTTCCACTTGGAAGGTGGTTTTCACAGACGCATCCAACCAAGGTTGGGGAGCGTTACACGAGGGCAAGCCTGTCTCCGGCCTCTGGTCGAGCACGGAGCAGAGCTTACACATCAACTGCCTGGAAATGAAAGCAGTTTGTCTGGCCTTCAAAGCTTTTCTGCCAAACATCAGGGGACACCAGGTGTTAGTCCGGACTGACAATACATCTGTGGTGTCTTACATAAATCGCCAGGGCAGCGTTAGGTTGGGCAGCCTGTGCGCCCTGGTGAGAGATCTCCTTATTTGGGCACAAACCAATCTGAGCTCCCAGAGAGCAGCACATATCCCAGGCAACCTCAACACTGGTGTGGATATGCTGTCACGGGGCAACACTCCTCTAGGCGAGTGGTCCCTGAATCCTCAGACGGCGCACCTGATATGGAAAGTGTTTGGTGAGGCTGAAGTCGACCTCTTTGCCTCGAAGAACAACTTTCATTGCACAGTGTTCTTCTCGAAAAGCAGGGATGCGTTGGCCCATTGTTGGCCCAACCGCCCCCTTTATGCATTTCCCCCCGTCTCAGTGATACCCCAGGTTATCGAGCGGGTCAGGGAGAGCGGATACCCAGTCCTCCTGGTCGCCCCCCTCTGGAAATCTAGAGCGTGGTTTCCGGAGCTGGTTCAGATGGTGGACAAAGTCCCCTGGCCGATTCTATTGAGGAAAGACCTCCTCACGCAGGTGGAGGGGACTATATGGCTTCCACGCCATGATGCATGGGCTCTCCACACGTGGCCCCTCAATGGGTACCTGGGGACCTTCCTGAGAAGGTCCTGAGCACGATCAATGAAGCCAGGGCCCCTTTACCAGGCGCCTGTATGCTTCTAAATGGTCAGTGTTTTCTAGCTGGTGTCTGGACAAACGTTTTGAACCTGTGTCATGTGAGGTACCAGTGGCTCTCTCCTTCCTACAAGAGCTATTGGACGCGGGCAGGACCCCGTCCACGCTCAAAGTGTATGTTGCAGCCATCGCAGCTTATCAGGCTCCGGTGGCTGGCCGGTCACTGGGAAAAAATGACTTGGTGGTACGGTTTCTGAAAGGAGCCAGGAGGCTTAACCCCTCTGTCTTGGGACCTCTCCACGGTCCTTGGGGCCTTGAAGGGCCCACCGTTTGAACCGCTTCAGTCGGTTGATCTCAAAATACTCTTGCTAAAGACTGCTCTCCTGCTGCCACTGGCATCTGTCCAGCGAGTTGGAGATTTGGAGGCGCTCTCTGTGAGCCCCTCTTGTTTGGAGTTTGGTATTGGCGACTCGAAGGTCGTTCTCAAACCCAGACACGGCTATGTGCCTAAAGTGCTTTCTACTCCGTTTAGAGCGCAGGTTGTCACTTTATTGGCCCTTCCCCCTTCCTCAGAGGATGAGGAGGCTAATATACTCGGTCCTGTCAGAGCACTGAGAATTTATCTGGAGCGTTCTGCGTTTTTTAGACAATCAGAACAGCTCTTCGTCTGCTTTAGTGGCCGGTCTAAGGGGTCGCCCGTCTCAACACAGAGGATATTCAGATGGATAGTTGATGCTATTTCTCTGGCATACACCTCAGTGGGTCAGGTTTGCCCTATTGGTACTAGAGCCCATTCGACTAGAGGCATGGCCTCTTCTTGGGCTTGGTCTTCTGGGGTTCCCATTCACGATATCTGTGCGGCAGCCGGTTGGTCCTCGCCTTCTACGTTTGTGAAATTCTATAAAATGGAGGTTCCTTCCCTGCAGGCAAGGGTCCTTTCAGTGGGAATTCAGACCCGACAGGTGTCCGGTCTTACCCACATATCATGTCAATGTCATAAACACACATTCATTCATTCATTAAAAAACCCGCCTCTGGCCGGTTATCATTCCCTTTATTTTTTAGACCCGACTGTGTCTGGTCTTATGCTAGGGGGTTAAACAAAAAAAAGAATGTTTGAACATTACATTATAGAAAGGTATATTATGAGGCCCGACGGTGTCTGGTCTTATTTTTATACACTGGTTTCTGGCTGGCTCTGCAAGCTCAGAGTTCTATAGCTGCAGTTCAACCAGCTACTCGGTGCGGTGTTTTGCATGGCGTCCCCACTGGACATAGCTACGCAATACGAAGTGGACGTTCTCGAAAGGGAACGTACTCGGTTACTAACGTAACCTCGGTTTTCTGAGAGTAAGGGAACGAGTATTGTGTAGCCGGAGGAGTAGCATGGCAATATGTCGAATACCAAGCTTAGATTAGCTACTATTCCCCACCAATTCACAAGCACAAGAGAAAAAGTATTTTGTACTTACATTTAATACCCTTGGAACTCAATGGAAGTTGATTGAAGATGGCATAGTTGGTAGTGTTGTTATAACCAGTCAACTGAACCAACAATCTTTTCACAAAACTGACAAAACCTTATCAAACTGTCAAAATCCATCAACATTCCGTGCATGAGCTACTTTCTGACATTCTAACTGAAAGTGGGTGAATATCAAAATACATGATAGAAACATTTTGTTAAACCACTTACAAGTGTTATGTTGACAACACTATTGAAACAATTACTTTTTATTACAACCTTACATGAATAAATAGGCCATTTGGCCCTGGACTAATAGGGTATTCTATTTGTCCATTCTATTGGCTCTATTCTATTTTGAAGACTTGTGCTGGCTCACAAATAAATAGTATGGGTATTATACATTTTCTGAGTCATCAGAGTGCCTTGAGTATTGAAGTTGTTGAGTTTTGTGTCCCTGGTGTTCTTTCATGCCACAAGGATAAAAGAAAGCATACAGTTTAGGCGGAAATTGTGAAATAATGTGTGTTATTTCGGGTTTAAAGAAGTAATGTGACCTCTGTGTTTGTCAGACAGATTCAGTACTGGGCTTAAATGAAAGCCTAAAAGGTCCCCTTTCCAACGATACCAAGCACCATATTATAGAATATTGACAATATCCCTAGCATGAGCCTAAACCAGATATACACCAGATTTCAAAAACGGAATTTATTTTAGGGGGTTAGTAACTTCATGAGCTGAAAAAAGTGATTTCGCTACCACCCCTGCACTGCTATCGTGATTTTTCTACTTCTAGGGGTGTATACCTTGCTAAAAAACAATGATAGGATTTGTCCCCCCGATGATACCGATCAACCCCTCTGGCTCATGGACTAATACTGGCAATGATGTTGTGTCATTAAGAGCTTTCTTCATTGAAAATGATCAGCATCATGGGATTAAATAGTTGAAGAACAAAACAATAAAATGAGAGGCAGAGGCAAGCACAACATACTGATTATTTTGTCAGCACAACATACTCTCCCTGTACTGCTATTTTAATGAAAACTATGGAAAACTTCACAAAAAAAAAAAAAAAAAAAAAAAAAAAGACATGTAAATATATATGTTTGTGTATATACAGGTATGTTTTTAACTACTTGTTTTCTAAATAGAGAAGTCATGAGCCATATAGCTTTAAAATTGTTTAAAGGAAATGTCTTCAAAAGGTCTTTATATGGTAAAAGCTTAACCACCGTTTCATGAATATGTCTGAAGGCTATTGTTATTGATTGACCTGAAGGCACTTCATTTGTTCAATTAATTCTGTGATTGTAAAACATATTTTTGTTTTCTTTTAAGATTTTGAGAAGTTTAAATAGTTTAGATTAGAACATTTTATACATGGCTAACTTGTATGTAGATTAGATTGTATGGATTAAAATAACTTGCTCTTGAAATGGTTCTAAATTGAGTATATCAAGCAGGGGATATTTAAATTCTTTGCCATTTTTTTGTGCAAAAAATCATAATCCTAAACTGACTGGCTACATCTCACACTTAATTTCATAGGACAATTATTTCAGTACATATGGTGAGTTTATGTATGACATTTAAAGCAACTTGCAGTTTAAATTTACTTGAGAACTAAAGTAAAAGGGTTAGTTCACCCAAAAATTTTAATTCTGTAATTTACTCACCCTCATGTCGTTCCAAACCCGTAAGACTTCCGTTCATCTTCGGAACACAAATGAAGATAGTCTTAATGAAATCTAAGAAATTTCTGTCCCTCCATTGATGGTCTACAGAACTACCACTTTGATGCTTCAAAAAGTTTGTGACGAGATTGAAACCTAATCCATATGAATTGACCAATTTAGTCCAAATTTTCTGAAGAGATGTGATCGCTTTATATGACAAACAGACTGAATTTAGGCTTGTATTCACATATAAACAGTCATCACACACATTGGTTATGGTAAATGGAGGCTCAACCATGCTTCATAAGTCAAGTCAATGTAACCTGCAATGAAACTGCTGAAAAATCCCCATCAACAACACACAGACCATTTCTCAAGATCAGGTACACTAATATTATTTATATAAAATATTATTTATTGATCAATAATTGTTAATGAACAATAAGCCATTATACAAGAATAGGAGGAAGCAGCCGAAGACTGAACATTCTGTGACATCCAGTGCAGGATCCTTTGGAGAGCGCCGTGGCAGAAGCAGCTTTCACGGGAACTTCACGGGTGGCTCAGAGAGGAATTCTGACATGACATGCAGCTCTGACATTCCTCTTAATGTCTTATTCTGTGACCTGAAACAAACACACAAAAAATCTTTAAAATGAAAAGTGAATATATCTTCAAAATCATTTGTAGCTGATCTTAGGCTCATTACCTTAAACCATTCATGTTGAAGGATTTTCCTCAAACAAATCCGTTGTCGTGGATTATCCTTCAGGAGGGACCGAATCAGGAGGCAGCATTCTGTGGAGAACGATAGAAGTGAGTCAGATTATTACCTTATACCCCTGCTGTCTTTGTATTAAGCTGTAAGATTCGACTATTCAATACTGTATGGTCAGAAAATCAGGAAAAATTCTTGTCTTGTATTATCCACATTATCTATCTTTTAGAAAGCCACTTGGCTCAGGTGTTAATTTTTCCTTGTTTCTTTGTTTTGTATGATTTAAATTACAGTTGGTCTTCTTTGTTGTGATGAATGCCATCTTACCGTTTGACAAGCCAGGCTCAGACCAGATATCATCATCAATCATCTGCCGGTCTCTTGGTTCTGGAAAGCGTCCACACACCAACAGGAATAAGAGCACTCCCAGAGACCACACAGTAGCTGGTTTCCCGTGGTACTCGCCCTCCGCGCAGTACTCAGGTGGGCGGTATTTTAGAGTGCCTGCAGGAAAAAGATTTGTCTGATGGGTAAGTACCATAGCATGAAAAACCATAGCATGTTTTCTCGGTAAAAACATCTGGTGTTTTTAATTAAAAAGAATGCTGCCTCAAAAGTGATATATGGTTTATATGATACCAATTTAACTAGTCACTAGAACTTAAGTCCCAAACTACAGGTTTGATTCATAATTCATACCACAGAATCTTTCATAGCCAGATTCCTGCAGGAGATCCCCACACCCGAAGTCAATTAGTTTGACCTCAAGCGTGTCTGTGTTGATTAGCAGGTTCTCCAGCTTAATATCACGGTGAAACACTCCACGGCGACAGCACATATGAGCAGCCATTGTTGTCTGCGCCAAAATAAATCGTGCTGTGTCCTCATTTAGGATGCCTCTGTGACAAGTCCAAAACCTCCACAGATCTTTACAAGGCGAGGGACGCTCCAAGACCATGATATATTGGTCAGGCTGGTCCTGCCAGTCCAGCAGCTCGATGATCTCTGAAACTTTAGGGCCCCTATTAGCAAGGACTAATAGGCCGACCTCTAATGGCAAGGGTGCGGGATGACCAGGCTGGAAGAAAGATCATTGTTATATGAAGGTGTTGTCATTATGTTGACATGTTTTAATTTGAAAACAGTGAAAAAACAGCATATCGAGTGTAGCTTACTTACAATGTAGATGTATTTCATGTTCTTCGGCTTTCTGGCAATTTTCACTGCCACCTGATCAACCAAAAAAAAAATAGTTTTGTTCCATTTCTAACATGTCAAATGCAGAAAATAGTGAAAAAATACACACTAAAAGACTTGAAATGGATATAGTGAGACAAAACAATTTGTTGGCTAAATATTGTAAGAAAATAAATGACAGGAACATCTGTCTGTCTGTGTGTCTGTTATTCGCATATCTCTCGAACCTCTGATTGATTTCAAACTTGACAGGTGTCTTGCTACGGGCACGAGTAAGTGCAGTGCCAAGATTGACGTTGTTTGGATTAGAAATGCAAAAGATATCGGTAAATATATCGGTAAAAGAAGCACTTAGAGGGTTGTGGTTTAAAAAGAAACATTCTGACATAAACACTCTGTCAGCTAAACATTACAGTTTACTTCTGAATATTATATTTTATTCACGGCCATCATTTGTAGTTTCCGAGTTCACTGTGTACCCTGCTCCCTGAATCGTGTACTTCAATTTTCCACATTTATTGTATGTCATTATGTCAGTATCAGTATTTGCTTTCTACCATACACAAATAAAAATGTCACTGAACTTTTGTTGTGTAATTGTAACAACATTTTGGTGTGCTTTGGTGACACTCAAACACACCAAACCAATAATTACTAAAATTACAGGCACTTTGCACTAGTTGTAAGAAAATGACGATACCTCAAGGCCATCCTCCACGCGTTTCCCTTCATAAACAGAGCCAAATCCACCCTTACCAAGCATTCTGCCGATTTCATACCGGCTCAAAATGTTGTCTGTAAAAAGATTATTCATTTTAGTTGCATGGAGAGCAGTGAGTTTAATGTTTGAGGTTATGGCCGTGAACTCACCCTCAGTTGTCACGTCTACTCGGTTGTTGTGACCCGGTGCTGGACTGACTGGACTGGAATAGACTGGAGCTGGAGGGGTTTGAACCTGCTGATCTTCAAGACCACTGGATAAAGCTTCCTGAAGACCATGATCCTCTAGAGCACAGGCACTGTACTGTAGAGCGTTTTGATCTAAAAGCAGGGAATATCAAACAAAAGCATGTTTCAATCAGTTACTACATGAATTCAACATGACTTTGATCAAACTTTTGGATTTTGATATAGGTGTGATGGTGTTAATTTGCAGTGGGATCTTGGTCTGAGCTACCTCTCCGGTCACAGTAATGAAGAGATGGCAGCTTCTCAAAACTATCCATCCTCCTCCTCTTTCTCATTGGCCTCTCATTTTCCTCACCAACAGGCTGATGGTTTTCAGCCGCATCGGTGCTGGATGTTGAGGATGTGCTCTGATGGGAGTCGCACACCTGAGCACTGCGAGAACTTTGTTTTCGCTTTCGGCCAATGATAAAAGTAGTCCGCTTGGTTTCATCTGTGTTTAAAGATATATGACATGTCCTTGGAATAAAAATCTGATCATGGCCTTGATCTAACTTCAACTGATTTCTGATCAAATGTGTGATGGTGTGGATTTTTAACAAATTGTAATGAATGACACTGGGTTCCCATTAATGGATACTCATATCTAGCTGAAAATGATGTAGACTTCCTGAAGTACAGAGCACTAATACACATAGAGCATTTACACATTCTCAACTGGTCATTGGATTTACCCTCACTAGTGGTTGCAGTGGTCTGATCCTCCACTTTCTGACCCTGACCTGAGCTACTGCTCCAGTGAAGAGTGAGGAGCTCTCCAAAACTACTCTTCTTCCTCTGTCTCTCCTGACTATCACTTTCCTCATTAACAGGCTGATGATATATATAGAGCACATAGAAGAGATTTGACCTTGATTTCTTCCCATATCACAATAAACAAAGAACATTTCAAACAAATGCACAAAAAGGTGACAAAACTATCCAAATATGAATATATATTTAAATTAATTTGTAGCTTATTGGGGCCAATACCTGAAACCAGTAATGGAAAGGTGCTGGACTGTGGTGCATTGGAGCTGAAGGGGTTTGAACCTGCTGGTCTGCAGGAGGAAGGACTTCAAGACCACTGGATAGAGGTTCCTGAAGACCATGATCCTCTAGAGCACAGACACTGTACTGTAGAGAATCTAAAGCAGGGAATATCAAACAAAAGCATGTTTCAATCAAATAATAATACTTATTAAACATTGGATACTCATATTATGGCTATTCGTCCGTTAAAATGTTCAATTTTTGTCAACTTTTATAGTTTTTTAAACAATCCTTGTTTAAATATTCATGACATGTCTTGTCAAACTTCAGTGGTATTTTGATATAATATGGTGTGGTAATGTGGTAATTAATGACTCTTCAGTGATATTCTCCAATGGTCATTTGATTTACCCTCAACACTTCTCTCATTTATCGGTGCAGTATTCTGGTCTGAGATGGTGCCGCTCCAATCACAGTAACGAAGCCTCACAGACCTATCCATCCTCCTCCTCTTTCTCTTCGGCATCTCATTTTCCTCACCAGCAGCACTAACGGGTTGATGGTTTTCATCCGCATCGGTGCTCTGAAGGGATTCGTACACCTGAGCGCTAGAACTAAGCTTTCTCTTCAGTGCCATGATAACAGTTGTCCACTTGGGTAACTCTATCATATGAACTGCAGAATAAGCAATGAGAAGACTGAGAAAACTGACAGTATAAGGCGTCCCACAACGTTCTATTTCTTTATGGCGTCATCGCATTCCTGAGTGACGCTTTTCGAATGCGCGCGCGTGACATTGTTCACAGCTGAGAAAAGGCTTGTTTTATATTCTTACCTTAATTATCTGTTATGTAGGCAGGCTATATTTAGGAAATGGCAGCGTTGAGCAATGTAGCCAATCACAAACATACCTGATGATTTCTTGAACGCAATGGCCAATCAGATTTAAGTTAGAATCCCATCGCCACTAACTAAACCCTCGAGTTTTTTTTTCCAGGGAGTGCTCGAGATCTGCACAGTTCAAACTCAAATCCTCTCGTTATAATTTAACTTGTAAGAAAAAAAAGTGTAGACTTTATGTAGGCTAAATATATTTATTGTACAGTCAGCTTAATCGATTTAGAACTTTGTGAGATCGCAATGAATAAAGATGAAACGTTAGTGATTAAGGGGGTGCTTTTATGCACGCTTTTCAAGCGATAATCCATTCATAATTTGAAGGGGAAAAAAACGTATGTTTTACTGCAGTAGGTAAGGCAATAGGCTATGTATTATTCGAACTGACTGCCATAGAATGCCAGTAACCAGATGGGCACCATCAGAGGCGAACCAACATTGAGTGGGGGCCCCAGGCAAAATTAATCAATGAGGCCCTTCTAAAATGTTTTTTTGTAAATATATCTTTGTTACCTAGAGATATAATTATACAACATACAAAAAGTAGTCAAAACACATCGAACAGAACATAAATTGTTTATTGTTTACAACATTAAAGTACTTATGTTTTATCAAGATACAATATAATTCTCAAGATAAGACCCTCTTCCTCAGATGCGATCGTACACAGCCCGTTGAAGCACTTCATAGACCTTTGAAACTGCATTGATTTGGACTTAAAAACGTTGGTTGTCATTGAAGTCCATTATTCGAAGAAAAATCCAGAAATGTTTTCCTCAAAAAAATACATAAATAAATCTCTTCCACTGAGGAAAAAAAGACACGTTAATCCTTTAACGGTATTCTATTTCAGCCTGCATGAATACCGTCTAACACTTAACGTTACATGCTGTTGCAAACTGCAACCCCCCCAGCTAAACACAGTTTTTCAGTAACAAATTAACGTTTCTAGTAATTAATCTTAAGTGAAACTAAACTGAAATTAACAACGTGGATTGTGGGATTTGTTTTGTACATTTCTTAAAATAGCTAACGTTACCATTACTTAACAGTCACCTCTGAATCAGAGGCTCTGATAACAGATCACTCGAGATAACTTGCTACATGTATTTTCTGTAACTTAAAGGTGCTTTAAAACGATATGTAACGTTAACGTTACTACTGTGAAAAATAAATGTGAATTGAACGATGAAACGATTTGTTTGTCATTAATTATCCTTAACGTAAATGTTAAGTCAATTAAGTTAATCATCATCATCTCATTCTCCGTCACTTACCGCAGTCATGGTTTCTCTTTTCCCCATCATCTTGTTTTTTCCCCCGCTTCTGGCTGCCAGATGGATATGTCCTCTTCATTTTTAATACACGAATTCATGCATTTTCGGATACAGACAGTAAAAGAAAGACAGAAACGCGAGTAAGCGCTGCGACAGTTTGAAAAAGGCGCCAGAAGCACCAAAAGCATACGCAGTCTTGCGAGAGAGGGGGGCCCACTAAGGGGGATGCGGAGGTGTTGCGGCGTCACTGCGTGTTATATTAATATGAACATTTCTGATTGTTTAAATAATCGGCCCCCTCAAAATGCGGGGCCCCAGGCAATTGGTAAAAACGTAAGGTAACAACGATATAAATACTGTTCGTTTTCTCTCACAAACCGCTCGTTTCGTGTCTTAGGCCATCAATGTGTAGGCCTACTTACATTTACGAGTCATTAAATCATGTTTAATTTGGACTTCTCTGTGCATGCTCTTTGAGGTGGTGACCATAGACCTGCATTATATGACTGACAGACAAGAACGGTTTGACCTAAAAATATCAAAATTGAAAATACTGCGGAAACAAAGACACCTACATCTTGGATGCCCTTGAAGTAAGCTAAAACATATCAAAAATTAATTTCAAAGTGAACTATCCCTTTAACTAGCGCTAAAATCCAGAATCTGCCCTACCTAAATGTATGGCCAGGAGCCGCTACTGCTATCCATGGATTCCATATTCTTCTAAATATCTTATTTTTGTGTTCAACAGAAGAAATAACTCCATACATACATGATTACAAAGGTACACATATCAGACATTATTTCAATAGTTAACATTTAACATACACAAATTAATCATATTGAGTTATATAATTATTTATCACCTTGTTTTTAAACATTTTTTTTTTTAATTAAAGAGTGAATTACACAATTGTAATTCCTTGTCACAATTATTCCATAGGTTTACCCCTTTAACAGATATACATCTATTTTTGGACTAAGAGCACCAGAACACACAAGCCATTCTTGTTATCAGTCAAATTCATTTATAAATGTAAACTCAGCAGGTATGAAATATGAATATGATCAGAGAGAGAAAACATGGACAATAAGACGACGAGCACTGGACTGCTGCAGGTTATGGGGAAATATATTGATTTATTATTCAGAATGCACAGCTGGAAATAAAATATATTTATAGGGACATTTAAGCAGGTTCAAGATAATTCATGTTAACACAGAGAACATGATTCATTGTTTTAATCAATTGACAGCCATAAAACATAATAATCTGCATTCTCATGTATGTAGGTGCACTGAACGCTGTTACCAGAAACTCCAGAGTTGTAGAAGCGGAAGCAGTTGTGCAAGTAGTGCATTTGACTCTGGCAAAGAACTTACATTTGACTCTGGTAAGTGTATTCATTGCAGATTGGTGGAAGTGGCCTTCAACGCAACATGCCCAGTGCATTATGGGTTAAAGTTTTCCCACCTATTTTGCAAAGGGTAAGACAATAGCCTTTTTCTTCTCTGCTTTCTCTCTAGTCAGGTACAGTAGCACCGATTTCAAAAAAATGTTTCCCCTTTCTACCATATAGGCAGCCAAGTTTTATTGGAAGTGTCACTTTAAGTAAATGACTGGGTCTCAGCTTGTTAAAAGACTTAAATTAAAAGAAAGCATTTAAATAAAATTGACATGTAAGAGGAACACAGTAACACATGATTATGATATTTACCATATATTTATTACATTGTAAAAAGTACATTAACTTTTATTCATATATACAGATTATTTTCATTGTTACCTGTTGACTACAGAATTAGTTCCTGGTGTATCTAAGAATGCAGTACAACAAGTGCACATACAAAAGAAAAGAAAACGTCCATCTGTCCACAGCCACCTCTTAGGTTTGTGTTGGTTTCATTGATCTGCTGTCACTGAAGTACAGCAGTGACAATCTACATTAAATTACAGTACAATTCCTTAAAGCACCTATAGTTTCTGTTCTGATCCAAACATACATGCTGAGAGGAGAAACCACGAGTCTCAGGTCATACACTGATCTCTAGATGAACTTGAGCTGTTCTCGGGTGCTCTTGGCTGATGCAAGCGGAGGTGCGGGTCTGAGAACGATTATATTTTTATATTAGTGAATTTAACAGCTCTCATCTGGCATCAACTTTTTATGAAGCATTCATTAATTCATACAAAACTAAAAGTGGTTGCTAAACTTCCAGAGTCGAGATCACCACAATAAAGGGATATGGTTTATAGAAAGAATAGCAGAAACGTATATTTGACAGAACTGATCAATGTCATCATGATCATGGCCCGGAGAAATTCTCGAAAGGGAAACTTTTAAAGAGCAGAAGTGCCACAGCGATACAGCATAAACCTGAGCAACAAAACTCTCTCTTTAAGACAACTTGCGAATAAAAAATACCCATCAAAATAAAATAAAACCTGACATTCAGAGTTCACCTGGTTCATTTAGTTGAAAACATTAGTGACGTGTCTGGAATGTTGTAGAGGTGCACGATAGTTCATTATGTGGCGTCATCAAAACAAGTCTATTTTATTGTCATCAACCTAAATAACTTTTGTAGACTTAAAGGGACAGTTCATCCAAAAATGAACATTCTGTCATCATTTACTCACCCTCGTGTCAAATCAAATCGGTATGACTTACTTTCTTCTGTGGAACAAAAAAATATTTTGAAAAATACAGTGGTCCATACAATGGAAAGTCAACATTAGTTTGTGTTCTACAGAAGAGAGAAAGTCATACAGGTTTGGAACGACACGAGGGCGAGTAAATTATGACAGAATGTTCATTTTTGGGTGAATTAACCCTTTCATTTCCCCACTAAGGAACCATGTATGGCAAACAATAAGTGGCTACTTCTCTGTGACTGTGTAAAAGTGTAAAAGCCACAATAAGAAACAATATGAATTGTCAAAATAAATTAAGTTTTCTTCATCATACTGTACAGGTTCAATTAGCTTGAGCAGTGTAGTTATTATGGTATCATTAGCTGGACCCAGTGTGCGATACCTCTACCATTCTAGCCATTCTGTCATCACTGACTAAATCTCACGAGTAACAACTGTACATTAAAACCTGCTCTGACAGGTGCAGCTAACCTACCAGACCCCCCTGACTGAAATAAATGTAGTCTCATCAATAATGAACTGTCCTCCATGGTGGCACCTTCCTGTTTTGAATAAATATGATCATCTATGTAACATCTCTTACTGAAGGACATTCGAGTCCGAGCAGTTTGGGAGTTGCTTTGATGTTTGAAATGAAGAGAGGCAACCATGCATGTCAATGTCCTCTCATGCACTCTTATTCCAGGTCCTGCTGTTACATAATTGAATAGTGTGGGCTACAGATGTGGAGAGTGTTTGCCTGCAGGAGGACAGTGAAATCAGATGCTTCTTCCACTGCGTTTCTCCTTCAAACGTCGTGGCACTCTGTCGGCTTCCGTTTGACGGGCGGGTCAGTCAGCGGTGGGGCGGGGGAGCAGGGGCACAGGTGAGGTAGCCTCTATGAGAGCCGGGTTCAGAATGATTGGCAGGGACATCGGGGGAACGCCCACTTGCAGCGGAGAGGCGAGGGGCTGCAGGATGAGTGGAGACTGGCCGAGAGGGGGCGGGGACACTGAAGGACTCATCTTTGTTGGAGTGGGCATCGGAGGAGTTGATGGAGGAACTGGAGATGATCTATCTATTCCTGCACACAGAAAAAGGAAGTTACAAAAAAGAAAGGTAACACTTTACTTGAAGGGGTGTGCATAAGACTGACATGAAACCTTCATAATCATGTCATGAATATGAAGGAGGTTTCATGCATGTTTATGACAACTGTCATTAAGTGTCATTCGCTCAATTATGATATTTTTAATGCAAATATGACATTGTTTGAGATGTCTTTGTTATGACACCTTGACATAAACCAATACATCATAACCTGCAGTCTCTTTGTCATGGCAGCTTGACATTACTAAGACAACACAACCTGTCATAAATATGTCATAAACATGACATAGCAGATTAATTATCAAACTTAAGAAACCACTTATCTTTATGGGTTAACATTACATTAAACTGTCAGGTGGTTGGTTTTGACATTACCTTTCATGAGGCCAATATAACATTTTAATGACAAATTCAATTTGTACCACTGTAGTTGAGGTCACGAAAAAAATTCATGACACAGTTATAATGGCCTCATGACAGCCAATGTCAAAACCAACCACCTGACAGTTTAATGTAATGTTAACCCATAAAGATAAGTGGTTTCTTAAGTTTGATAATTAATCTGCTATGTCATGTTTATGACATATTTATGACAATTTACGTTGTCTTGGTAATGACAAGTTGTCATTACCAAGACACTTTATGTCAAGTTGTCATAACAAAGACATCTCAAACAATGTCATATTTGCATTAAAAATGTCATAATTGAGCGAATGAACTTAATGACAGTTGTCATAAACATGCATAAAACCTCCTTCATATTCATGACATGTGTAATTACCAAAAGAAATTAATGCTTTTATTCAGCAAGGATGCATTACATTGCATTAAATCAATATTAACAGTAAATACATTTATAAAGAAACATTATAAAAAAAAAAGGTTTATATTTCAAATAAATACTGATCTTTTGAACTTTATATTCATTAAAGTATCATAAATGCATTACAGTTTCCACATACACTACCAGGAAAAAGTTTTGAATTAAGTTTTTAAAAAAAAATCTTTTTGAAAAGAAGTCTCTTCTGCTCACCAAAGCTTCAGTTATTTGATAAAAAAATACAGTAAAAAGCAGTAATATTGTAAATAAATAAAAGATCACAATTGAAAATAACTTTTCTACTTCAGCATATAACCAGTAACGCTTACGATCACCGTTGGCACTAGGTGTCTGCATATCCCGAGGCGACGAGGGTCTGCTGGGAATATTTGGCTCTGCAGGGGCAACTGGCACTGGTGAGGGGACTGGCACAGGGGGAGAGGCTGGAGTAACAGCAACAGGCTGTGGGACGGCCTCCACAGGAACATTACACACTGGTTCTGTACAAAAACCA